TTGCTGAACTTGTTCTCTAGCAAGGCCGTTGAAACTTTTTCTTTTTTGAATTATAGTATGAGGTTAATCTTTTTCTTTTTTGAACTCTCAGAGAAATTTGACATCTGTTATACTTCTACTGTAATTTTGTTTCGTACCATCATGAAAATCGACATTCATTTGTTTGTTCAGCTATAAACGGCACACCATTCAAATTGACAAATACCTCAATGATAAGTTTGCAAATTTCAAAACGATAATTCAATTGGTGAGGTTAGTATTTTATACAAGTAAAAAAAATCCATGTTGAATAATGTAAAAATCTTTCTTGTGAAAAGGACTACAGAAAATGACAATCAACCAATAGCAGTTCCTAGACAAGAAAGGCTCTTCACTTTATGTGAATATGAAAACCAATATAATTAATCTTTTGTTTGAATTCTTCTTGCTCAAAATGTCATGCAAAATGCGACTAAATTAGTTTAAAAGTCACATCAATAGTTCTAATTAGTGACATTTGATACTGGAATAAACCCCCAATATGCTTTGTCAAATAATGTTCTTCAAATTAAGGGAAAAGAAGAAAATAACCATTCCAATTGTGGTAAGGGTAACATGTGGTGGTGTCCTTCTCTTTCCATGCATAAATAATGAGTATGATGATCAAACAATTTTGTCTGTATCCTCCAAAGTCACCATCCATAAAATTGTCTCCTTTTACTCTTTTTGTACTTTTGTCCTTTGGGATGAAAAGACTACGTGAAAAAAATTACTTAATAAATTTACTACCATTTGATTTGGAAATCCTTCGATCAGGTCGCAAACTAATATATAAATTGTTTTAGGTGAGCCTGTTGTGACAAGCTTGACTAAGAAGGTGTTGAGAGAAAATTGATCCTTAAACTCCCTTATGGAATAACACATATTGCACCAATTCAGTTATTCTTACGATTGTTGCTTACTTTTAGTAAAAAAAGATAATTATTACATCCTTAAAAAAATGAATTGTTATTAAATATTATGAAATGTTATTCAAATTATCTAACCAAGAGTTGTTAATTTTGGAATTTTCAGCATATAAATAAAGATATTTAGTTTTAAAAAGATTACGGATTAATTTCCTAAAAATAAAAAGAAAATTAATTACTTCCAAAGGTTTTATTTTAGAGTAAATAAACCCAAAGGATTAATCTTGTACAAATAGGTCAAATCATATTCTCTCATCTTAAAAACTTTTATAATATTTTGAATTTTCTTGTTTTCACTATAATAATAATAATACTATTTCCTATTTCATTCTTTAACATTTTAAGCAATTTATTCAAATGGTGAAATCAAGAACCGTGTACTGAATCAACTAACGGTCACGATGATCCGGTTTATTTTTCGGCTCATTATTACACGTCATTCGAAAAGACAGACCTTATCGAAAACAAGAAGAGTTAAAAAGTCGAAAATAACCCCCTTTCTTCATTCTCCACGTTAGCTGTTACTAGTTGTACCTTACCTCCAGTACAGTCACGTATCCTGCGCATAATAGCTGCAGTCAATACACACACAGACTGATATAAGAAATACAATAAACCACTCAAGAAAGAAAGAGACTCACTCACACACATTTGTTTCTCTGCCATTTTTGGTAATTGAAAGGCTTTCATCAATGGCAGTTGACTAGGGTTTTTCTGAACTTTTTCTTTAATTTATGCCATTCAATTGCATTCAAAAGAAGTTACAAAATCTCAAACTATAGTTTTGCTTGTTTCTTTTTTTCCTGGAAAATACACCGCGACATTGTTCTTATTCTTGGTTGTGTTGTAGAGAGAAAGAGAAATCACGGTAAACCGACAGAACTCTGTTTCTTGCTTTCTTGTTTTTTCGTTTCTTTCATAGTAGAGTGCTCTATGAAACAGTGCAACTTTGGTATTTACAGAAATTTTAGTTGCAGTGAAAGTGGTGATTCTTTTACTGCTTGTTGATTAGACGAGAATTCTTAATCGGTGAGTCATGATTAGTTTGATCAATGTCATTTGTTTTTTTACTTTTTAAAGAAATTTCTTCTTTTTTTGTTTGATTGGTTAATGGTTAGCTGAAGTGTGTAGAGATTTTCATTTGAACTATTTCACATTTGTGTATAAAATTATTAAGCTTGCTTCAATGCTTGATAAGTATGGGCGGATGAGTTTTACCAGGACAGATGTTGTTAACTCAGTTTAGTTCTTGGTGTTTTCTTTAAATCCTAGTTTGGATCCTTAGAAGTCAGAAGAAAAGAAAAAAAAAATCGGAATCATGGTTTCCGTGGTTTAGATGATTTGGGGGAAAAAAATAGGGAAAGCGCCTCCTTGAACCAGTTCTGGAAAATGAGCTTATCTTGCCACACACACAAACACAACCCCCCCCCCCCCCCCACCCCCCCACACACACACAAACACTTCAACTGTTACAAGTAACAGTAAGCAGCATCACCTTGTCACACTAGAAGCTTATTGGGTAGCTCCTTTAAGTATTATAGCGAATAGTTGCTGAACTTGTTCTCTAGCAAGGCCGTTGAAACTTGATGATTTATCTTTTATTTTTGCAATTATTGTCTTAAATGTACTTTTCTTAAGTAAAACTAGAAATTTGTCATCTGTTATTATCAGCTTTAACTTATGCAGTATACATGTAGAAGTGCAGGCTTCTCCCTCCCATGTTCTTGGTCTGTTATGGCAGTTAATTTTTGTTG